GATTTGTATCGGATTCAGGACCACAGAGCCAAGTGGTCTAGTTCGCATTGGAATAAATCAGATCTGTGTTGTTCATGTTGACTGTCAAAAAAAGATTGCATACAGTTCGCATATGGACCAAATAAAATCAGATTTGGGTCACTTCAGGCTGCTGTGTTACCTAGCCTAAACCACCTCAAGAGAGAGTAAAAATGTTGGGTTATAACAGTTATACCACATGGTGCATAAAATGATCAGATTGGATTTCTGAGTTGTCATTTATTCATCTGATCAATCAATACTTTACTGGTAATCAACCACTGCTGTGTCCCAACCACTAGTCTGATAGGACCAGTTTTACTGACAGGTGTCTAACAAAAGAAACTCATTTTAATGTGAAATTTATTTCCAATTAGTCTTCCTCTCTTTTTTTTTCTTTTAAAGATAAGGCAGCATAAAATCAATGGAGGCATCATTTTAGTTGTAGGAATCTTCTGCATATAAGAGCACAATTTGTTTTGGCTGATCTAATTCTACTACTTCAAAATATTAATGCCATTCAATACTTTTCTCAGTTTACAGGAACAAAATAGGGGCTTAGTCTTTAAATAAAAAAGCAGTGTTGTTTAGAGATTGGTTGTGTGGTGTGTGTTGAATTACATCAGTGCCTGCGTGTAGTTGAAGATGGGAGTGACACCGAGAAATCTCTGAATTCCCTCCATCACCTGCACAGGATTAGAACGCAGCAGGGCCCCGTCCACAATGTGCAGCTGAAGAGACACACAAACACCAGACATCTGTGACTCGTCAAAAATGGCAGAAAGGTTAACGCAGCTGCTGCAGAAAACATCAAACTAGTCCCTGCTTTAAAAGGTGCAGAGACAAACTAACACACATTGATTAAGAGGTATAACAGTACGTTCACGTCGAACAAGAAGTCGCTGAAAATCTCGCCAGTTTTCTCTGCTTTAGCTCGCCTTGATGATCATGGAGTCTGGTGGTCGTTTGTTTCCCCTCTTCATGGCGGACATGGTTTCATAAAGCGACCGGCCATGTTTTTTAGCTCAGAAAGCTGAAAAAAGCTGTTTGTATTCCTAAGTTCACCAAAATCCCAGAGATGGAAGCAGCATAGAAAATACCACCATCTCCTCCAGAGAGTAGGTCTGGAAGACGGTCGCCTTCCTTCCGCCAATCTGTGACCCACTTTGGGGTTCTGCTGTCCCGCATTGGGGGATGAATCACTCAGACAACAGAGGGTTGAGTGAGACAGCATTCTGGATCTCAGAGAGGAGCAGCGAGAAATCGGTGTGAGAAAACCGGCAGAGGGGAAGAAAAAAAAAAAAACAGAACCAGGACCAGGCTGCCAACCCTCTGGAACCACAGCGGGAGTTCGGAGGAGGATCCAGGTGAATGAGAGTGGGGAGAGGAGGAGGACACAGCAAGCATAGGCTGCAGCTGGCTGGGGCTAGATAAAGAAGCTAGCTGTTGAGGAACAGTGGACCACAGTGGCAGATCAGATAAGTCAAGGCTGATCTATACTCAGAAACCAGGTCGTCTGCGTCTCAGTGAATGTAAATATTCCCCCGCCCCTTCCACAGAAACTCTGGTGCATCTGTACAAAATTGTAGGTGACCGCAGACAGGAGGCCTCTGATTGGTCAGATCTACATCTGCTCTACACTATGCGTATTTCCTGTTTGGTACTTTACCAGCTTGTTTTGTTTGTATGACCGCCATTGTGGAAAACGACTTGTGAAGTTGGACCAGCTAGAAGATCGAGGTGCATCAGAACACTGGGACCCTTTATCCACCTGGATCCCCGCTCTTTTTGGCTCTCCGTTGTCGCACAAACTTGCCCCCACTTCCTAACCGCCTCGGCGTATCTAGACCCTCTCTAGTTCCTGATTGTCCTCCTTGCATTGTGGCGTGGAATAACAGCGCAGACCACGCTTCAATATTGGACATGAATAAAATATATGTGCCACAAACTCACTGCGACACACTGCTGGATAACCAGCCCTTTAACCGGGAAGACTGAACACTGAGGGCTGGTTAAAGACTACAGCAGCCCCAGAGTAGGACAGTGGTACATTGGGGAAACCAGTCACAGAGGCAGAGCTGCAAGAGGCTATAGCTAGCTGGAGCTAGCCTCTAGGCCAGGGGTCGGCAACCCAAAATGTTCAAACAGCCATATTGACCAAAAACAGACATACATTTAAAGGGTTTATATAGGCCTCTTTTATATAGGCCTCTATATGTATATTAGCCCACCATCAAAATTACTAATTAGCCTTAAATACATAATAATCATTCATGATTAAATGTTTATTTTCCCTGCAGCGCCTCCTGGAGAAAATGACAGCATGTGATTAATCTGCTGTACAATAATTGAACTCTGGAATAACAGGAGCACCACAGAGCATAAATATGGGTCAATTGGAGCAGATGTGTACTGATGACATCATCACACGCTCGGCCTGTCTGGAGCTGCATTTCACCTCCTATTATTAATAGTCTCTATATATGAATACATTCTGACTTTTTTCATTTAATGGGGAAATAACGACGATCACAGTCGGATAAACACAAATCAAATGAACAATTTGCAAAATCAGCCTGAGGCTGATAACGTTTCACGAGGACACAAGCACATGAGAAGTACACATATTGAGAAACGGCCATAGATAACATGGGAATCCTTCCCTACACCTACGATATTCATGCTCGGTGTGAACGCAGCTTTAGAGGAAAATGATGAACAGAGGAACTGAAATATACTATAGACATTTGAAAATGTGTTTTATGGTAGAGAAAATGAAGAGTGGTAAAGGCAGATAGTTGAGAACATTTTCGACGTTATAATAAAGTGGTTCTACCTGGCTGGGTTGGTAATATTGCAGCCATCGCTCCAAATGGGAAGCATAGGCTCCCGGGTGAAGGCACCGTTTCTGCAGGGTTAACAAGGCTCTGGGGGCTGAGGGTGCTGCCGTTACAACAGCATGGAAGGAGTTGTTCAGCGCTGCGGGGTCCTGGTGGGCTCTCTGGTGCTGAACACATAAATCGTAATAATGGAAACAGACATAATGAAAACACAGACAGGAATCTGTGGAGTTTCTTAAAGAGTGTGACACCAATATGCAAATTAAACTGAGAACATGGCTGGTATGTAACTATAGCATAAATAACATAACAAGTTTACCGATCCATCCGTATCACTCCAAATTACTAAATCCAATGAAACCTTCATCCTCTGAGTTACTTTTAAACAACTCAGCTAACTCCAAACTTTCTTTCTGCTGCATGATTTCCGCTTTTAGCTGCATATTTTTTATAGTTTTATAATCTGCAGAACATGATTTTCTTTTTGGTGCCATTTTTTTAACCCCTCAATTGTTTTTATACGGTAAGTTAACCCCAATGTTGAAATTATCAAAACAGGCCTAGAGCGCCCTCTTGGGGTTTAGTGTGAAAATAACATGAAATTATACAATAATGTGTTAATAATTTCACACATAAGTCGCTCCAGAGTATAAGTCACACCCCTGCCCAAACTATAAAAAAAACTGCGACTTATAGTCCTGAAATTACTGAAAGCACTGAATTCACACCAAACTATACAGAGTTACAGTGATCAAAGCTAACCAATTTTTTTTTTTTCTCCACACTTGGCTACAATTCTCAAGTAAAATGAAAAGCAATGCTTTATTCCTTTATTTTTCTTTCCAAACAGATATCTGAAACACTAGGTATGCAGCCTCAATCAACCAGTGAGCAACATAAAGAAACGGAATCCATGCAGCAAAGGACCACAGGTCGGATTCAAACCCGGGTCGGCCGCATCCAGGACTAAGGCCTCTGTACATGGCTCGTGTGCACCAACCACTGCCCCACCAAAGCACGCCTCAGTGTACGACATTTCAATCTCTGATCTGATTTTTTTCTATATTGCACTGACTGCATATGGAGAGGCTCGCACTAGTCAGGGTGAGCAGATCTGCACAGATTTTTTTTCACTTCTGTCTCTGTGCTATACATAAATTAATTCCACACATTTGACTTGGATAGATTAGGAAGTTATTAAAAAAAAAAATCTGCACATTCTATAAAGCAAAGCTCTACTTAACGAGTCTGTGCAGCCTCTAGAACCAGAACAGATAGAGTATTTTCATATATCAAAAACATAATGAGATCTACGTCTAAAGAAAAGAAAAACGCATCAATAAACGCTGTTGATTGGTTTCTATGCTGACTGAGACAGGGAGGTTATTCTCAGAGATCTGGGAAATGTATCCAAGTTTTTATTTCTTTTTTTCATAAAGAGGTGAGAGAGATACGCTGCATTTACCTGCTCTGTCTGATCCTCCTTATTTTGGTTTCTGTGAGGCTCAAGAGGATCATCATTTTATCCGTTTCTGACCTCCTGAACTCCTATCATGGGGAAAGTTTTCCATTTCAATGTTTCGTTCATTGTTTTTGCACCAGTCTGTCCTGCTTACTATGCAATGTGCTACTTCAAACTGACTCTTTCCCTGTGAGAGTATCAGATTTTATTTTGTATTTTTCCTCAAAAAGCGAATGTGTTTTACTTTGTAACCGAGTCTCTCTTCCTGTCAGACACATGATTGCTGCTGAATTGCTGCACAGTGACTAAAATAGACCTGGGCTCTCTCAGTTGGAGCTACGCTGCCCCCTGCAGGAAATCCAGCTAAACGCCACAACCTGTCGAATCAGACGCAAAAAACAGATTCAGTGTGTTCTGGCCTTAACTCATCAGGAGGAGGGCACTAATGTATCTACATTTCTCAGATTTTTACTGTAATAAAAAAGGATGCATCCTCCAAGTTCAAAGCAGTCCCTGAACATGTGGCGGCTCACCTGATACCAGGAGTACGCTCTGTCAGACGGGTTGATAAGCACAGCCAGGATTTTGGCTCGAGGTAACAGGGCTGCTGCTCTTTTGGGGGCTACTTCCGAGTCAAAGTAATTGGCACTCTTTTCAAACATGAAGTCTGCGCTAACATTGGAAGGAAATGGGAAGAACTCCATGTACCTTATGAAGTAAGAGACACAGAAAAAAAAAAAAAGCAAAAATCAAAACCAAAAGGCGCCCGGTTATTTAGATCATATGACTTTATGATAGTTATGTCGATGATTACAATGGAGAGAGAATCTAAAGATGGTGTGAAGGCATGCAGTGGGAATCTCTACCAGTCAATCCCATTGTCATAGTTGGCTCCACCGAAGAACTGGATCTCCTCAAAAGTAGTTGCACTGGAGAAGGAGCCAGTAATCGCTGGGTGAAGGCTCAGGAATGAATGAAGAGCTGTGGTGCCTTTGTGGAGGAAAACAAAGACTGATAAGCTGCAGAAGAAACAATTGAAAATGGAGATTAGGAAACTTACCCGTTTTCTGTGGTCCAATAATTAGGAATTTAGGAAGTCTGTCACAGGTTTTTTCTTTAGACCAGATGTCTTTGTGTCTCTTGTCGTGACACGGGTTCTGTTTGAAGCATAGAAAAGCGTCACCATCACCCAAAGGTTTTTATTTCATTTCCCATTAGAAATTTCAGATGACTTCAGCTAAACTCTTACCTGCCAGAGGGGGCTTCGTTCTTCTGGGAAGATCTGGAAATATTTTTCAGCAAGCTGAACCGGAGGCAATGTCTGCAACCTGAGGTTGGTCCAGCACTGGACAAACTTCACCAGAGACTCAAAGGTGTACAGCCCCAGACGGTCATTCCCATAGTTTGATAGGTGAGTCATAAATATGCTGATCTGTGTTCAAGGACAAAGAATGAGACAAGAGGTCAGATGGAAAATCAGAAAAGAAGTCCATTTGTGAGGGGTATGCAAGTGATCAAAAACTGTAACTTGCCCTATTAAAAGCGCTATAGGAGATCTTGGAAAAACGGTTACAGCAAGCTATAGTTTGGATACACAACCATGCCTCTCCCTTCAGACCACCACTCGAAACCACGCCTTCAAAACATGCTGTCTGTGATGCAGAGCGCAATGATAACTCCTCTGAAACTGTTTATTAACGCCTAGATTAACTTAAAATGCCAAAATCTGTTGGCAAAACATGTTTGCTTTTATTATCCTGGTGCCCGCAGTTTGGATTACATACGTGAAAAATGCCTTCCAGCCGCCACCGCAAACTATGAAGAGGTGACCAGGCCATAGGCTGCTGTAGAATGGGATTCCTAGTGACAGCGCACCGCTGGTGTACGGGGGCCTCAGCGGCTCCGACAGAAATAATATTTGAAGGCAGGATGGTAATCTGGATGAACCTTTAAGGGTTCTCTGTGTGCAGTCGATACACCGACTGCTTTATTCCACCGTAGCACACCGATCAATAATCATATCAGCCATTTTGGACGTGAAACATTAGGTAAAGGTGCAGTAGTTGATATTTTCTGATGCATTTTTTACCATGCGGCTTAAAGATCTCGCCACAGCTGCTTAGCAAGCAGTGAAATAGAAGGTCTGGAAGTGAAACCAAAATAAATGACCCCCGCTACAGTGAGAAATCAATGAATAAACCTCAACCAATCACAGACCAGGAGCAGGTTTCCATACCAGCAACATCAGACACTGAATATGTGTGACTGTTTCATCATTCATGTTATCTCTTCTGAAAGCGTACTGCTGATAAATGGACAACTTGAAAACTCAAATCCATAGATTTCACACTTATTTTCCAGTTAAAGATATTTAACAAATCCAGTAAGGTTTCCTGCTCATTAGCAGTTTTAACTTGCTGTTTGTCTGCCTACTGATGCATTTTAATGCTGGTACTGGTTCCACTGTTCAATATGACTAGCACTACTGCGACATCTCGGCAGCACAACGCGACTCGTTCAAGCCCTGTATGCTTTTAAAACGTTAAAAAAGGAACAGTACGCACCATCAGAAATGGTAAACGACAGCTGAGATGACTTACAGGGTTTAGGAGAACAGTGAGGAAGAGTTCTCCCCCTCTGATGCTCTTATCAAGCTCCTTGGAGCCTCCAGGGTATTCATTATAGAAGATGGTATGTGTGAATAGGCCACAGGTTTGCCTGGGCAGCACCTAAAACACAAAACAGAAGCTTCAACATCGTACAGCCGTCTGCTGAATGATGCAGAGATTTATGTACGATGATGAGGCTTTATTTATAGAGCTGAACATGAAAACAGTATCATCAAAAAGAGGCAGGAGAAGTAGTAAATACGTCAACTACGGGATAAAACGACATATTTAAAATGTGCTGGGAACTGGTGATAATAGGAGGCAGTGATTATGTGGAAAAGACAGGTCTGAATAAGACTATAAACTCTAAGTGTTTCAATAAAATGTTTGCTTTTTTTATTTTCATTGTAATAAATTAGAAAACTGATATTTTCATTTAAATGTCAATTTTTTTTCAATAAATATTAGTACGATGCAATTTTTTGGCCCAAATACTGATACCTGATACCTGGCTGTGCATTATCAGCTGATACCGATACCATCTGTTTGAAATTGATGTGTGTGTGTGTGTATGAAGAACTGCATACTACTTGAATGTCAAATAATTGCCATCATGGCTTTGTTAAGCTGCTGCCTATCTTTGTGAAGCAGGAAAAAAAACTAATACAAAGTGAATCCAGTAGAACCCTTTATTGCCTGCCTGGAATGGGTGACAATAGCAGGGATTAAAAAAAGCAAAAATCCTGAGCCTGAAATTTTTATTTTCAAGCCATGCCTAGGGGGCATGGGATCAGAGATTGCATGAATGATTGGTGCTAGGCCTCTGTCAGCTTTAGCTCTCGAAAAATACTGATACCTGGGTAGCAAAAACTGGAAAGAACTAATTGAAAGGGTAATGATTATGGCAGCATCATTCACTCTTATTAAAGTTTAGCTGATAAACTGAAAAAGATGAAAAACTTTTTGGATTTACCGTACAAGGATGTAATAAACACTAATTGTAGGGTTTGTTGTGTAAAGCAAAAGATCATCAACATAAGGTGCGACCCTTTGCTTAGTTCAAAGTTGATAGATAAGTGGGAAAGGAAAAAAACTGTTTGGTACAATCTGATGGGAACATCGGCCATGTGCAATAAGATCAACAAGGAGATGAGCACAATATAGTAAACCTAATGTTAAAACTTGAAGAAAAAGTTTGTCACCATAACAGAGAATCATGAAGGTGTAGTAACCTTTATTCCGTTGTGGATGAAGCCCCGGCGGTATCTTGCTGGCCTGAGGTGAGGGTATTCTTCAGTGCTGGTCACCTTGATTTTCCACACAGACTTCCAGGCTTCGTACAGCTGGGTGTGAACGGGGTAAACCCCTGAGTGGTGCGGAGCCACTGCATAGCCCATATCTGTTGGAATTCCATGCTCCTGTACAAACAGAGAAAGGATGATAAAAAAATCCAGACCTAGGTTTTTCTCATTTACATCACAACAAAACATATTACTGAGGTTTCAGGTTGTAATGCTGAGAAAAGGAACAGCAGAACATCAGAATCCGAATCATATTTATTACCAAGTAAGTAGGGTTGCACTTACAAGGAATTTGAATTGGTGTTGATGGTGCAGACAATACAGAATCTATAGCTATATACTTCATAAAACATACAATATACTATATGCAATATATAGTACATAGCTATATACTATATACAGTCATATGAAAAGCTTTCAGTGTTCGGTGTTTGCAGCAGCTATTTCAGTTTGATATATCTAATAACTGATGGACACAGTAATGTTTCAGTATTGAATTGAGGTTTATTGGACTAAATGTTCAAAATGCATTAAAACAAAACTTGACAGGTGCAAAAATGTGGGTAAGACAATGATCCAAAACACTGCAACAAATCTACTCAGGCATTCATGCAGAAGAACAATTCCAATGTTGTGGAACAGCCATCCCAATCCCCAAATCGGTTGAAGCAGGTCAGATGAGTTTGGGAGAAGTTGTAACACTCCACAGCGCTCCTTCTGTGTTTGCAACACCGTGAGAAGGATCTTTTTTTTTCAATTTTGTTCCCTAATCGAAAAAGTTGATTCATTCTTCAGGAAAACACTAACATATAAAAACAATAGGTGACTGTAACATATGCTACTGCCAACAGCAGTACCTATATCCCCCCACTCCTTCATAATAACAGCACTTATGCCGTTTCTTTTTCTAGAGTGTGTGGGCTTTTCATTGTTTTGGGGCTGGAAACTCCGCAGTGAAGGACGGGTGGAGTTGCTATTTATACCTTTAAAAATATAGTAGATAATTCCTTGTAATAGTTTTGGTGGATCTATTTGAAAATCATGTTTATTGCAAGTGTTATAAACTAGCTTACATTTATAAATTGATAACTGGTTATACAATCTGTACCAGAGGTTTCCCCGCCGTGTTTTCTACCTGGGCTGCTGTGGTCATATAAGCATCAGCCTCCGGCTTAGAGTCTGACTCTATAGCCTAAAGATTCGCTCTGGATGGTTCTGACCCATACGGTGTGATGCTCTCATGCTCCTCAGCATTGCTACCCTCTCCCAAACTTACACTAGCTGATGGTTCAACCATCTACTGAGCATCTGAGTCAACAAATGATCTCCATTAAATCTCCTCTGACCTGAGCAAAGATCCTGTTGAGCTTCATCTGCTCAGCCAGGACGCTGACGTTGTGAAAAAGGTGAGGCTGCATGTGGCTCCACATGTGAGGAAACCACCAGAAGTCCTTCTTGTGCTGCAGCAGCATGTCGTCTCCTTGATCCTCCTCATCTGTACCTGTGAAGACCCCAAATTAGACAGCGCTAAGCCAACATAGAGCCAAATTTAACAGTGGAAAATGCTTCCTTAAATCTGAGGATGAGGAGTACCTGTGTGATAGAACTTCCCTGAAAATCCAAGATTGAAGGTGAAATTAGGTACAAGGCCTCTTAGCTTAGTTTGAGTATTCAGCAAGGCCTGGAAAATGACAGAAAACTCAACAAGTTAAAACATCTTGGAAATGCACAACTCTACCAGCAAGGACACACAGCATGTTTGGTAAAATTCAAACAATAGTGATACAGTTTAACACACACAGCTTTAAACAATGTAATTATATATTAAAACATTCACTTACATTAATATTACATAACATTTACTGGATTACAAAATAAGAACGGTTTAGACCTTTTTTAACGGGTACTGCAAAGGTAAACTTCGCAAAAACTATCGTGAGCACCGTGGACAGAATAAAGAGCTGATGTCTATAGGAATGGTCATATCAATACCATTTAAGACCAAAGAAGTTTAAGCAGACATTGGTAAAAACTTGTTTTTATACATGTTCCTCCTTTCATAGTAGCTCATATGTTCCTTCTAACCATCATCAACTTTAAATTTTATTCTTTGTTTTATGAATAACAACAGCCTATCCAGTACATTTGTTTATTTCTGCAGAAGCCCTACAGTCTAAACCACTAGTGTCAAACAAGTGTTGAGGGTGGTGCCCTGCAACTTTCAGATATGTCTCTAGTAGGGCTGGTCAATTAATTGCATATGCAGTATAATCGCAATTTAACACAACGCAGTTTTCAAATCGCAAAGGCACTCAATTTTAATCACAATATATCTAACAAGAGTAAGACACAACATCTCTCCCTCCAGCCCATTAGGTGGCGGTAAAACACTTGACGTGGTTTGTTGCCACACAGAAAGGCAGAATGGTTTGCGGCTAGCATGCAGGTCCATGCACACAAGTAGAAGCACTTTTTCACACAAAGAATACTGTAAAGTCATCAGACGGTAGACTCTGGGCAAGCAAGCCTAAAAAACTGATAGCCAGGCGTGAAAAAATCTACAAGTTCGGTAAATCCGGTAAATGTAATGTAATATTAATTAATTTTTTTTTTTAATATTGGAGTTATTGGGCTGATGTGTCAAAAAAATCTTTTTACACTCAGATACCTGAGCTTTTCTCTAGCCTTGAATGCATCCTCTCATTTCTCAGCCCTAACAGCAAAATCGATAGCCCATATTTCCCTGCAATGTTGCTCTTAAATAATGGTTAGACAAGAGAATCAGTAATGAGAAGAGATGGGAGATCTGGAGCCAACAAGTCATCTCTATGTCATCTGTTTGTTTGTCCCATCCACTGAACAAGGTGAGTCCAATATGCACAGGTTCATTCACTCTGCAGATCGGACTCACCTTGTTCAGTGTCCGAACCTCCGCCCTAATCACTATATAGGGCACTATATAGTGGTAACGCTATTTTAGATGAGTGTCTGAACGTTTAGTAGATAAAAAAGTGGTGAACTTGAAATTTCCCACAATGCACCTTGAAATGTACCATCCATGATCACTAGACGAGCAGAGATATCCCAGGATGCTTTGACAGGAGAGCTCAAAGCATTATGGGATTTTTTGTCACAGCTGCCCGCTGGCGCTGCCCAACAGAGGCGACTAATAAGAAAGATGGCGCAGGCACCATGTGGGGCGGTGGAGTTATGTGACCAACAGGGAGCGAAAAGTAGTGATCATCTGTCAGAACGTTCACTTAACTGAGTTCACTATAAAGTCCACTATATAGTCCTTGCTCTATATAGTGATGGATAGATTTAGGGGTCGGGGCGGACGTTCAGACACAGCCAGGGAGATGACTTGATGACCCCAGTTCCTTTATCTCTGGTATTAAGTCACTGCAGCAGGAAAAGCAGTTTCCAGAACTTGGCTTTAATGTCCTTTGGCTAAACATCCTAGTAATTACTCATGTATAATCGTTACCATAAAAAATGTTCATTTGATTGACCATGTCAAAGTATGATAATACTCATGCTTCGTTAAGTGGCTCACCTCCACGTCAGACACCTTCATACGAGTGCCCTCTTTGCCCACGAATATATCATCCACGTCTACCAGGATGTGACGGTCCAAAGACAGACCCAGTCTTTTGCCTGTCAGGTAGCCGATGGCGTCCACAAACACCAGCTTGTGAAGCCAGTAGTTGAGGTTGTTCCCAAAGAGAACCCTTTGAATGCCATCGTGGAGCCCCAAGTCCTGCACCACGGTGGCATAGAGGGCCAGCGGACTTGGTCCAGAACGCGCCAAAGCATCCGAGGACTTGGGTGCAGCTAGAAGGACTGGTTCATACGTAGAGTGGTTGGACAGGAATACGGTCCAATCGTCCCCTGGCAAAGGACCCTGCTCCACTTGGTTGAGCTTGGTGATGTACAGCAGAGGAGCGTTGGGGTTTATGCAGTAGTCCCTGAGTCTGAGATGCGAGTGTAGAAAGAGGGGGAAACCTTTGAGCTGTGCACTGTGAAGTGAGTTTTCAGTGGCTTTGAAGAAGCCAATCACCCCCACTCCATATTCAGTGCAGTACTTGTCCAGCAAGTCGCGGTTCCATGTATCAAGGTTGACATATTTCAGCACATTTTCATAAATAATCAACGCATAGCGTCCGTGGCTCTGCTCCGTCAGTGTGGGCATGTCTCCCTTAGTGGGAGCAATTTCTGTCCGGTAGCGGAAGCGACTGGATTCTAAAATAGCAATGATTTCTTGGCCCAGCTGGGAATAGATACTCTCCACAAACACCAGAACCACCGGCTCCGTTCTGGAGTTGTCGATTGTCTTTACCTCCTGCAGTCGCTCTCGCCGCACAGATAGAAAAAGAGGTGACCTCTGACTACCTGTCTCACTATCAGCAGTACTGGTACTCAATCCCAGCAGCGTCCCCCCACCTCCGCCACAATCACTGAAGGGTAAAGGTGGGGGGTCCTTGATTTTAGGGCTGTTGGAGACGTAGTAGGCGAGGAAGGCCATGGAAAGCAAGCAGGCGATGAAGCTCCAGTTGACGGACACCTCGCAGGAGCTTTAAAATACCCAAACCAATAGCCATCTTGATGTTGGAGGGGAGCCAGAGAGGTCCAAACAAACAAGGGAAAAGATGGGGAGACGGGTTGAGAGGAGAACAGAGAGGGGGAAGAAGACTGAGCAGTAAATACTGTCACTGAGCTGCGCTGATTAATAGCCATTTACCCTAAGTCACCATGGCCATGATCATTCATGACTTCCTCTCTATGTTTGGTTCTGAAGTGCAAAACGACACTAACAACTGAGAGTTCAGGTCCTCTGTAAAAATCTGAGGTTTACTCTGTTCTGTTTCAACGGATGAGCCGATGTCTCTATGCAGGAATGTTTTTTATCATCATGAAGTCGCTTGGATGAAGGCGTCTCAGCACAGCCGGTCTGGACTTACAGCCTCCACTGTCTCTGGCCACTCTTCCATGACTTCTAAGACACTTTGGGACAAGAAGCAAACAGGATATGGAAAAAAAAAAATGTTAAATGCGATTTACATAGAGAAATAATATAAGACATCTATATTAATCATTATTGCTTTATTGAAATAATAACAATAATAAAGAAACCAGTATACAGCAAACAGTCTAGAAAATGTCCGTCCGTGATTCCCTCAGGAGTCTTTACAACAGACCAAGCATATTACGTTTTGGATGGCTTGAGCCATTGGGGTGGAGGCAGAAAGGCCCTCCCCATTTAGTTTCTTTGTGTAGAAGTTTTAAGGGTCCCTGAAAGCAATTAAAAGAAAAATCTAAATAATTAAAAACAAAGAAAATAAATGTACGAGGTGCATCTCCTAGAAATGTACATCATCCATACATTTCAAAGGTTTTTCAATCTGATTTGCTAAAAGCTAAATGAGAAACTGATTTTTTTTCCCATCAAAAATCTATCATAGATTTTATCATACATTCACTTACACTATATCAAGCTCCTTTTGCTTTTCTTGCTGCTAGACTTAATATACCAAATAAGTATTTAGTTTGACATTTACAGTAGCTGACTGCATAAAGCCAAAAGGAAGCTTCTCCCGGTTAAATGTAATATAATTACCATATATTGTCACCAATTCTGTAAAGATCTGCTGTCAAAAGGTAATTATTTTTGGATGGGCCCAAAATAAAAGAAAATTATTGGCTTCCTGGGATTGACACGAACTCCAGCAGTGAGGAGAACGCATGTTCAGACTTTGTTGATAAAACATCTGATGAGAGCCAAATGTTATGTAAATTAGACCATGAGGTTTACCAGCACCAGTGTTGTTTTTGATGGCCATCTTAGATTTAGTCTGATTAGTTTTAGTCACATTTTAGTCATTACCATATGAAATGCTGGTGAAGGTTCTCAGTCATCCAGGTCATAGCCATTCCAAACAACTTTAACAATCCACTGGACATGGTTTCCAAGTTTGAAGATGTTTCGCTTCCCATCCAGGAAGCTTTTTCAATTCAAAATGTCAGGAATAGCGTTGAGTTCCAGGCTTTATACAGTAGCCCAACAAATCCTTGTTTTGGTTTAGAAAACGTGCAAATTGTACCAGAAGAACGGGTAGGCCCCATAGCAATGGGGGTCGTTTGGGTTCTTTGTTAGCCTGCAATAGCCGATACCGTCTATCTTTCAGAGACATAGGTATCGAGCATTGCAGGCTAAGAAAGAACCCAAATGACCCCCAGTCCAAAGGGATGGATCCGTTCTTCTGGTTCAATTTGCATGTTTTCTAAGCCAAAACAAAGTGTTGTTGGTCCACTCTACAAAGCCTCAAACTTAACTCTATTTTTGACATTTTGAATTGAAAAAAGTTTCCGGAATGGCAAGCGAAACGTCTTCAAAGTCCAATGGATTTTTTTTTTTTTTTACTTTTTTGGAATACGATATCTGATAGTTTTAGTCGGTTTAATGTTGCACTTCATAAAACAGTTAACCTTTAGAATTTGGAATACCGACCAGATTCTATAGCAGACTCACAGCTCTAGCCTAGATGCTACAATAGCTGGGTATAGAATGCTGCCGTGCAGATCATCATTGCTGTTGGGCGGAAAACTTTGATTTCTAGAATTCAAAAAAAACTTTTTTATGAATTAATGCCCTACTTTAAAAAAAGTGTCTCACAAAAGTTCAACACATCCTATTGGTTGATTTAGCAGACAGACAAGCTAACAAAATGTAGAATAAAGGAACGGTTTTAGACATACATGGTTTCCATCGTAAAGCAAACACTTCCTGATCTACTATGAATTATGCCTTACACACAGATAAATACAATCTTCACTCCTTCAAAAAAAACAAAAATAAAACAAAAAAACACTTTTCTTTCAACTTTGGCAATGTTGGCTTTATTTCTGACAAGTTACCCCTCAGATACTGCTGTTCGGGGGTCAAAATAGATGTAAATTCACAGGGTTTTGATATAAGTAATACAGAGAGAACCTACATAATTGCCATGTAATGCCATGCCAATCCAGACATAAATATAATGAATATGAACTAAAATGTTGAAATATTCGAATAGAAACAAGAGCTATAATAGAGAAATATTCAAAGATCTATGTACCCTTTCATCTGGATCTTTATCCAAAAATAAACAGTATTAAATACTTTCTTTAGATTAAAGGATTTAGGGGTTAGGACGGACGTTCCGACACTTAGCTCTCAGCTGTTATTTTACTGACTCTGGGTCCACAACAACATCCATCAACCTTGACAGATTCAGTGTTTGTTGGCCTTCATTAACAATGGATCATTGTGTGCAGCTACACGTGTCGTTGAAACCAGGCCCTCCAAAACACTAACTTGGTCATAAACTGCATTTTTCTGGGTGCTTTTAGGCTCAGTGTTGGAGCTGTGGCCAGTTGATATTAAAATGAACATAGTCTTGTAGAGGAGTCTCAGATAAAGATCTGGACGTATTTAAAAGAGCTTATACGTTAATTTTTTTAGGGTTCTAAGTTATAATGTTTTGACTATCAAGAAGAATGTGTAACTTATAATACTAACTGAAAGTTAGAGAATGATCTAATGTTTTATACTTGTCCTTAACAAACATTGGTCTAATACGTGTTATTTTAAAGTCGTAGGGAAGCGGCTGTTCCAACGGTTTCTCCCGAGTAGTGCACGACTTTACATGAGTAAATAAAGTGAATGTGATTGGTC